AAAGGCAGCAAATCTTAACATTTGTGAAACTGGAAACATGACATTTTCTGTGCATTAAAAATGAGTTGCCAATTTTCTGTAAATTGACTTATTGATTAATTGACTAATCGTTTCAGTTGTACTTATTTACTTATTTAGAACCAAACATATTGATAAATTCTTCCTGTGTTTTGTTTGTAAAAATCAAGCAGTCACATAAATGTAGTGGAGTAAAAAGTGCAATATTTCTCTCTGAGATGTAGTAGAGTAAAAGCATCAAGTGGCATTAAAAGAAGATACTCAAGTAAAGTACAAGTACCTCTAATTTACTTACAGTACTTAAATAAATATACATTCCACCACTAGTATGGATATCATGTTAGAGGCTGTGAAGAGAGTTGGTGTCAGAGGAAGCGAGGAACAGATAAACAGTGAGACAGAGCGACAAGAGTAAATATTAGTAAACTTGTCCCCATTGGTGTGAGCATAATGCTAAAAGGATGCACGACCGAAGCCGAGCTGGCCTTATAGTTGTTAGACTAGTGAATAATAAATTATTGTCTGACTTGCTGTGTCTTGTGTTCTTGTTCTTTCTCAATGTTTGGCTGTGTTTAGCAAAGTTGTCAACTCAAGCAAAATCAGCCAGAGGCTTCACAGACAGACATTTAACCACAAACTATCTTGAGTTGCTGTTAGCAAACTTACTAGGTAACACACTCTGACATGTGTAACGTTACTGTAAGTGCTCTTGCGTCTGTTGCTGTCTATCTTTGTTGGCTAGTTTGCCACCCAAATCTAAGCAACATTATTCTGCTAATAGGGGTGCCGAGCCGCAGCAAGGTTAGCAGCACAGCAGCCTCTATGGACTTAACGTTAGCTAATGGCAGAGGTGAAGAGTCCAAAAAGAGGAAAAGGAGAGTGGCGAGTTTTAAAAAGGCGCCAAGCTGGCGTTCTTTCTGAGGACACAGTTGGACCAGCAAGTAATATTGTGTAAAGTTACAGTCTTTTCCTCACAGTGAAGAATACAGCTTATTAAGTTTCACACTGGTATCAGATCAGTACTTGGCATCAGCCGATACCACAAACAAACAACAAATTTCAGAAGATGAAAAATACATCTATATAATATAAAATTATAAAACAACATGAAATCAGTTCACACAGATGTATTCACATTCACACAGATATAGTCACATTCTAAATTGTAACTGAAAAGACACTGAAAGGGATACTTTGCGATTCTTACACTTTTACACTTAACTGTTAAATTCAGCGAATATTTCCTCATGGGTTGGTAGCTCTCTGTTTTTTGTGTGCTCTGAAAAAAAATCCAGTTTTCCTACACAGCCCCTGGTTCTGTAAATTGAGCACAAACAAAGCTGCTCGGAGCGAGCAACAGGTGGCGGTGGCGCGCTCAAAGCAATTGAAGAGAGAATAGGTGCGTTTGACTCAATGCGGCGCTGCGTAGCGCTGACTTAACGTGATGCATGCTGGTTAGAAATTGTGTCTGACTTTCGCCGGCGCTGCAAAACGTCACCATGTCACATGACATTAAAACCTTGAGGGAGCAAGGCAGCTGCAGACGCCGAGTCTGGCGGCCGCAGTTACTTTTCCCCAACTGCACCAAGATGGAACAAACTATTGCTTGGTCTCAAGGTATTTTTCTTTGCAAATGCCGTGAGATCAGTCATTGATCTCAGCTCACAGTAAACTGCTGCAGGTAGAATGTGTCCGACTTGACGATGTTGTTTTTATACCCCGCCCCTGCAGTCACCTGCAGCTCCATCAAGTCGGCGAAAGTCAGCCGCCGTCATCTCGAACGCACCTAATAACAAACATTCGAACATGCTGGACTTCATAGGGGACCCTATAGCTGTGAAAATGGCTGAGAAATAGCCTAAGAGGGAAATGAAACAAGTTATAAGACCAGGTGAGGGGGAGACCTGTGTTATAATCTGTGTGGGGTTTCAATGCTGGATAAATCTCCTAGATTTGAAAAGAAAGAAAACCGATTCTGAGGTTGCTGCTGTTTCTGCTGGACAGGTAGGTAGGCTAACGTTAGCTTTGCTGCTCCACATAAACGACAGGGTCACTAATTACTCTCTTATTTGTCTGTTGTCATGTTTCTGATAATCCTAGCTGTTTGCTTTGTTAGCTTTGCCACAGCGGTCAGTGTGTGTGTGTGTGGTAGAGGAGTAATAGACGGAGCGTGTGTGTGGTAGGGTGTCCCAGTGAATGGAGAGAAACGGGTCAGCAATAAGGCTTGTTCAGCAGTAAATGTACGGTAGAAGTTACAGTGGCCGGTGAATAAAGACTGCAGCTTCTCAGGACTAGAGAAGCTCCCGTGTGTTGCTGCCTGTTGAATAATATGAAAGAGGTTAGCCCCAAAGTTAGCACTGACTTAGGCTCTGGAAATAAACAGTCGCTCCTGTGCTTCCCAACTCTTGTCAGTCACTGTATTTTTGTAAAAGCTATTTCAAATAACTCGCTAGTTTTTTACTCAGATGCTGCGTTTGTGATCTTAACGTTACATGTTGTTTGTTTGATGCTGTTTGTTCAATAATTGTAACTATTTAAGTTCCACTCCTATATATTCCTACTGATAAATAAACTAGACTCTGTGTCTTAGATTTAGACTTAGAAAAGTATTTTGCTTCAATACATACAGTATTTTAATATTGACAGGCTTGTTGTCACACCTTCTACAATACTGCTAAAACATGCCCTCTTACTGAGGCTCTCGGACAGCAGATGCTGTGGATTCTGCTATATTTCAGCAGAGTAGGACTGGTTATCATGGCAATGCGCGTTCATAAGTTTGGGGGGGCTTCTGAAGGAGCAGTGAGGGGAGGGGAATGTTTGTTTAGCAGTTGAACTCAAATATCAACAAACTCTCTGCAGAATCGCATAGTATCCCTTTAATGTACAACTAATTGCATTGCTAATAACGTTTTCTCATTGTTTTACAGTCGTTTCTATGAAATGTTTGTGTATGGGAAAAGTATTTTCATACCAAAGCAGGTCACACAGGCATCACTATGTCAATAGTAATATAAACTGTACAAGCTGTGATGGTGCGGTTGGGTTTGTGCTGTTTCTCCAGCTTGGGCAGCACTTAAATACAAACTGGAAATTGCTAGCTGCACAATACCTGATGAATTGTTTCAGGCTCTGGCAGACTTTTTAACATGAGCATACAGGCTCTCTGGCAGAGTCCTGCCTCTCTCAGGTGATCCCACAGGTCCAGTGTGAGGCCCTACCAAGTAGTAGGTGGAGGTTGGAGAAACACCTGAAGTATCATCTGTTGGGATCTGATTCAGACGGTAAGTTGTAGCTTGTACCTGGAAAATAAATCACATCAATTTTGAGCAGAGGTTGTTAGCCATTTGACATGTGAAGTAGTCTACAATTAACAGAGGGTCATATATGTCCTTCAAAAACACACTGCAGCCACACAATCACATAAAGAAAGCATCTACACCACATTGACAGCACATACAGCACCCTGCATTTAGACAAATACACTGAAAACAACAGTTGCAGATTTCACCGGAAGCTCTTTTGCTCAGAATAATCTCAATATTCAGTGTGTAAAAAAGCAGTGCAATAACTTTGGCTCAGAAATTCATCAGGTTCATCAAGAGTGAGATAGTGATGAAAACTTGATGCTTACCGTTTCATATACTGTATTTTTGATGTACCTTCTTTTACCTGCAGGCCAGTAAAAAAAATAGTAAAAAAAAATGATGTTGTTTGCTTTAATTTACATTTCATTTTGAGAGCTTTATCTTTTTTGCTACTTAAAGGTATCCCTTTAAGTGGCGACATTGGGATTTTTAGATGTGGGGCTGTATGAGATACTCATCCATAGTCAGTGTATTACCTGCAGTAGATACAGATCAGCGTGTCCCCAGTTAAGAGAAACAGAGATCTGTAGCAGCACGAAAGCTAAGCAATGTGCTGTGGACTCCTCCTGTGGATACCTCATACAGCCCTACTTCAAAAATCCCGCACTATCCCTTTACCTCCATTACATTTACATTATTTGAACTGCACATACATTAAGTCCAGATTGCTTGTGTCTAAATTACTCAATCTTCAAACAGTAGCGCACTTTAAAGCCTCTATGTGTATGATGACATATTTTGTGATGCTGGTTACTCCTAGAGGTTGTATCAGAAAAGCTGCAATGGCAAAAAGCAATGCATGCAGATTCCCCTAACTTTCCCGCTGGGATCTGGCCTGAGGATGCTAAGACATAATGGGCAATTCTTGAGTTGAGAAATCTAGTAATAGAATAATTTGACAGATGCAATAATCACATAAAGAAATATAGGGGCTTTGCGTTATAACACAAAGGGATTTTACTTCTATGTTAAAATGAAAATGAACTTACATTTTCGTCTCTTTCGATAACAACAAACTGCTGCAACAGTTGCTATGAAAACTATGCTGAAAGGAACAAGCACTGGGACAATAATGTTGTGTTGTTTGTCTTGATCTGTAAAGAAAAAAAAAAGGCCTGATTTAAGTCATGCAACATAAATGAGAGTGTGCTACTGTAGCATTGCATATTGCCAGCTTGTGCTTTTGACAAACTACAGATTTGGTTATACAAATTTCTTGGTAACAGACGTGATCTGTAGTAAGAAATATTTAAATTTGTTCAATTAAACTACAATGGGTAAAGCCAAACTGTCACAAATTACAACCAACCAAAGGTCACTGAATTAGCTCATGTATGATTTGTTGAACTGCCACTGCAACACTCTACACACAAATCCCTTCATTTCTCATTGCCTACACCATTTTTTAACTTTCAGTCATACCAGCATGGTAGAAATTATGAATCTGAATTTGTCATGCTGTTGTTTCAGCTGACCTGGATACTATGGTTACAGATGATTGGGTCATTCATATAAAAACATTCTAATAAAGTATAAAACATATATCTGCTGTAAGTTAACCTAACTCCAAACTATACATTATTATCAGCAAGTCAATTTGTCTTCCAGTCTTACCAGCATGTTGGGGGCAGAAATGTTCTGCCTTTCTAATGTCCTCGGTCCAGCTGACCTGGTTGCTATGGTTACAGATGATTGAGTCATTCAGCAGGTAGACATGTAGAGAAGCAGCAGAGGTTGTGACCTCTGATCGCTCTCCTCCCTCCGGACTGCAGGTTTGGTTGTCACATGTGAAAGTGCTGCTGATGTTAGAGTCCTGTGTTCTGCAGGTCACAGTGAGGTTACAGGAGTCTGAGCTGCTGGACGCAGAGTCCACTGACAGTTCAACTGGAGACACTGGACCTGAGGAGGGAACGTTTGGGTGAAATGTTTTAGAAACATGGCAGCAGATTCTCTCTGTCAGTGTCTGAAATGTTAACAAACCTACCTTGAACTGTGACGTTGTATTCAGCTAGTATTCGTTCTTCTTCAGACCCTGTCACTCGTGCAGTATAAACTCCACTGTCTGCCTCTTGTAGATTCTTTAATTTCAGTGAGTATTTTTTCACATCAGTCTCAATCCTTCCAGTGTAATTATTAGAGACTGTTGGTTCTTTATCAGGAAAAAATGTAACTAAAACATCCTTTTGATTGAATCTCCATGAAAGAATAAAAAAGTTCTGAGGAACATCAGCTGTCGTGATGTTCAGAAGAACATCCTTTCCTTTCTGCACAAACACAGGAGTCACAGCACTGGAGCCTGTAAAAACACAAAAAACATTTAAAATCACTCTCAGTAGATTTTTCTTAAAAAATGTAATATAACTCAGTTCAAAATTATTAAGTATCTTCAGCTTAAATGTAAAAAAAATGTAATGACTTTGTCTCATGATACAGCTTTCCTTAGCAAACTAAACCCAATGAGAGTAAGATGTTAATCAAAGTCGTTCTATTTCTTTTTAATATTACAGAGCCTCTTCATTCTGTTTCACCTGAAAAACAGGGGAACCCACCCTCCACCCAACCACAGCTTTAAATCCCAGCTCCATCTGTCCATGTGTCAAAGGGCATTGAGGAAAAACCCCTAATTTTGAACTTAATTACGTGATTAATTAAGTTCAACCATAGTGGGTTTGATGTTTTTAAACAACCATTTCCATCAGCAGAGCAAGTCTTCCTTGAGTATTGCTAAAATCCAAAATCCTACCCACCCCTGAAACACAATGAAAAATACACAGTTTGAGATGATTTGAGCTTTGTGACATGGTGCATGGATGGACATGGTCAGCAACAATACTCGTGAACCGCTGATACAAGGCACGATGGATCCATGCTTTCATGTTGTTTACACTAAATTCTGACCCTATCATCTGAATGTCACAGCTGAAATCGAGACTCGTTAACCAGGCAACGTTTTTCCATTTTCTATTGTCCAGTTTTGGTGAGCCTGTGCAAATTGTAGCCCTAGTTTCCTGTTCTTAGCAGACAGGAGTGGCAAGGTTCGGCGTGTTGTGCATTCAGAGATGGTGTTCTGCATACCTTGGTTATAACAAGTGGTTATTTAAGTGACTGTTGCCTTTCTGTCATCTCGAACCAGTCTGACCATTCACCTCTGACCTCTGACATCAATAAGGCCTTTTTATCCACACAACTATTTTTTCTTTTTCGGACCATTCTCTGTAAACTAAAGATAGCTGTGCGTGAAAATCCCAGTAGATCAGCAGTTTCTGAAATACTGTCTGGCACCAACAACCATGCCACATTCAAAGTCACTTAAATCCCCTTTGTTCCCCATTCTGATGCTTTTGAACTTCAACAAAACCACATTTACATACCAAAATACAATGAGTTGCTACAATGTGATTGACTGATTAGTTATTTGTGTTAACAAGCAATTGAACAGGTGTACCTAATAAAGTGGTCAGTGAGTGTATCAAGGTGTCTCACTGATTTCAAGGTGATGCTGCAATAATCAAGTTTATGTTTTCTCAATTATCTCAAAAACAGGTTGACCTAGAGTCAAAATAAATCTTCCAATATATTAATCTTTCAAGTCACCTGTGTCTGGTCTTCAACTATATACAAAGTTAAAGATTTTCACTCGGACCACGATTATTGCCGCTTGCAGATATATTCTATGTTTGTTTTACCATCAACAAATCCAATGAAAAGACCGAAGCCAACAATGAAATTATCCTAAGAAGTTTTGTCAAAACTTTTTGTTGTTGTTGTGTTCAGGATAAATAGTTTATGCTCTTGCCTTATATTTGTAATGATTACAGCAGACAAACAGAGAATAAGGAGAAATATGACAGGTCCCACTGTGATACTATAGCCTTCAACAATATCAGAAAGCGGTGTGATTTTTATGTTACGACTATCCTTTCTTCTTCCCCATTTTGTTTCATTAATTGAATGTCTTTGAATTGATATTTAAGTGCTATTGTACAAAAAACTGATTTTTTAAATAAAAGGAGACCATCCAAAACAGGAATCAGTAATAGAAAAAATATATTTTTACCTTGCATTTGACAGGAAGACAGCAGAAAAATTGCACATAGAAACGAAATGGGTCCCATTTTGTCACAATGAGGAAGTGATCGGCCTTCCGCCTTTATGCTGCAGCTCAAGAAACTTCCACAGGAAGTGTGTCATCATATTATGGTAAGCGGGGTCCTTTGGTAGAAAGAAGCTTACCGAAAACAGTGACAAAGAGAAAGAGACATAGACCTAGGTAGACAAATCATTCGGTTCGCATTTTGCCTTTACTTGACTGCCAGAAAATGTGGATCTTACACTACATTGTCCCATGACTGAAACATCCTCTATTTGAAACCACTCCCTCTTTACAGTATCACTGTTAAAAAGAAGCAGCTTGAAATGGCAGTCTTTTGCTAAATTTTTATTAAATTATTATTATTTCAATAATAATAATAATAAACTTGATTTCTAGAACACTTATTAGGGTCAGTTTTTGTTGCTGTGCCTTTTGCGTACAAATCATGTTGTATTTTGTCTAAATTTGGACAAATACAAGTTCCATTTGGTTTTTCATGTAAGGTCAGTTGTTTATTATGAATACAATGATATTGGCTTCTAAATGAGGGATGAATAATAGTTGTATTTGTTTTTTTAAGCATTGATTCAAGAAGTAGGCCGACATTGGAATTTTGCAATGTCCCCAGTGTTCATTCAACTTAGATCTGAAAAAATAACTTAATAACAAAATCTATTTAATCAAAAGTAGTTTTTATCAAAATGGTTAACTTTTGTACAAATAAGGTCTTATGTTTGTCCCCAGCGACCACTGTCCACCCTGTTGAGCTGCATTACTGTCTCTTTTTAAATGGCATCACTCTCATAAGGTGACGTCTAACCAGTGGAGGAAACTTTTGGTTAGCAATTTTCTAACTCTCTTACTATTTGATTTGGCCCTTTATAAATGAGTTTAAACTGTTACTGTATCAAGCCTGAAAATGGCACATCTGTGTTGGTCAGGTGTGTTCAGGCAAATTGTTGTGGCAGCAGCAGTGTTGGGGGTAACGTGTTTTGTAAGGCGTTACTGTAATCACATTACTTTTGTCTGTAATGCAGTAATGTAACACATTATTGTTGATAACATTACAGTTACTAATAACAAAACCGTCGCATTACTTATTAACTGGTTCTTCAAGTATCCACATGAGGGGAGGAGAGAAAAATAAATCAAACTTCCCTTTTCGTGCATGTTTGCCTAACACTTTTCCGACCTCACTTTTGACTTTAGCGCCAGTTCATGAGGATGCAGAAATGGCAGAGCTGCTAAAGATGTCTTTCAAGGAGTGGAAGTGGGCTATTGTAGCCTATTAGTTTTGTGAAAGGACAGCGATGCTAGTAGTAACTGTAACTACTATTATGTAATCCATTACATTTTTTGAGTAACTACCCCAACACTGCAGCAGTCACTTCATTGATTAGCCTATTAAAATCTCCGACAAGCCGACAGGATCGGTCAGGATCTAATGTTAAATTATGTTCTGCGTTCTTCTACACACCCAAAAGGTCTCATACACAGTCCTTGGTTCATACAGTGAAACTGTTGGGAATAAAGCAGCCGTCCTCCTGATCAGTCCTGAGCTCCATCAGAGCGTCTTACTTATTTATTCCAGAAGCTAGAAGTTGAATTCTCTGTCCTCTGGAGAGTTTTCTCTGTAACGTCAGGTTTATAACTACAGTTGTTTTGTTTTGCTGCTTAAATTGCCCTGATATTTTCTGTGACTTTATTGCACACACGTTTTAAATTACTGACTGCAGCCTCTCTATTCATGAAAGTTAATTGTACGGTAATAAAACACAAAATAAAGAAATCACTGTAGGGAATAAATGTGACCCACGACCATTTCATCATAGTTTATCATAAAGCAGCGCAGCACCGGGTCCAGACTTTTCAGACGGCGTCTGTGGCTGTTAACAGACTCCAGTCTGCAGTGAAGTTCAACACTTGATAACCACAGAGCTGCAGAGTAACATTAGGCTTTATGATCAGAGACAGTTTTTATATCATGTCCACACCTCTTTCTATAACCCCTTCTCTGCTGTGAGTCTGACATTAAATCAGTCAGTTGATGGTTTTAATAATGCAGTACGAGGTACAAGCGCACCTGGCTTTAACAGGAATACGGAGACGAAACTCTGATTGGCGTATTGCACATTACGCATTGAAATGGAAATATGTCCTTTAGTGAGTCTTCTGAAATAAAGAGTCCAGTCCAGACGTCTTTTAAGGGTTTTATTCTTTGCAAAGGGTCAGACAAACATACAGAGTGCAAACAGTCTGCAGAGTGAAACAGGTGACTTTATACTGTAAGGGTATTACGCAGCTGTGCAAGGGAGGAAGGGAGTAGGGACCAGCTGTCCTGAGATGAAGGCCTATCAAGGACAGTCTGATAAGAAAACTCTCTAACGAGCATCTTTCCCATGGGAAACTTCACCTTGCTGTAACATAATAAAATAATCAAATACCACACAGTGAAACACTGGTCTATTCTGATGAAGCATGCAGGGTGAAACAGTAAACTAAAATGTCAAATTTCCATCACAGCATAAACACACCCATGGCAAATTTACAGACTAAGTACAACCCTTTTGGACCATGCACCTGGCACACTGACACTTTTTTCCGCTGTTAAACTAGCAAACTTGGAGTTTGACACCAAACGCAACTGCGGCACGTGGTTCAAAGTGTGCGCTTAGATCGTTAAAACAGGGCCCTCTAACACAGCATCAATCAATGCACGTGCACCACTTGTGAGTTTTTGGAACTGCTACAGCCTACAAGATGAAATAGATATCTAGCTAAATTTACAATGTTAGCAAGCCCACTTGTTGAGTCAGCCAGGGTATTTACCTTTTCATTTTATTTATTAATTTAAGTGTTTCAGTTTTATCTCCCGAACTGTTGTTTTTAGCCTTTACAGTCAGTATATCCTTCTGAGTTGGGAAAAATACTATGGGCTCTATCTTGCAAAGTGAAGCACAAGTGCATTGCTACCCGGAGGAAAAATCTTTTGCTTAGAATAGTCTTGTATTTACCTCTTGAGAAAACACTAAGATCTCAATTGTTTTTGATGATAATAATAATAATAAATAATAATAAACTTTATTTTATAGAGCGCCTTTAAAGGCAGCTTCTCAAAGCCCTGTACATAAAATCACAATCCACAGAAAAATACAACAAATAAAAGTGAATAAAAATAACAACAACAACATTAATAATAAAAATTATCTAAAACAATCATAAAAAGACATCAGCAACCGAATGCAAGTTTTAAAAAAGTGTGTCTTGAGAAGAGCTTTAAAAATGCCAAGGGTCTGGGCTTCCCTGAGTTCAGGAGGAAGAGAGTTCCAGAGTGAAGGAGCATCACTTCATTCTGAATTGTTGCTCCTGAAACCCCTTTAGAGAAAGGATGAGATAAAGCGTGATTGAGGTTTTCATACTGAATTGAATGGAGATTACAATAGGGGAAATGGAAGAGATCTCATCAATGTATCTTTTTGAGTTGAGTAATGCCTTGCTTATTGCTCCTAAAAAGCAGTTAGGAGCACTAGGGAGATGTTAGTGAGCTGGGTTGTATTTCCTTAAAGTCAGTGCTTGAAGAAACTTACCAGAAGCTTGTCCTGAGCTAGATTTGAACCCTGCTTCTGATATTCAAGGGACAACAACACTGCCACTGCTCCACTGAGTTACAATAACAGTGATCAACTGATACTGAGTACTAGTAATGTGCGATACCACTTAATTCCTATACGATCCAATACCAAGTAATCCAATACCAAGTAATACCCAGGCTGGTATTGCCGATACCGATACCCATACCAATACTTTTTACATATTTTATTTCTAGTATAATGTAACCTCCCCCCTCCCGTTTCTGTATTTATGAGAGAAATAAGGAGTAGGCTGTAGACTTACTAATTCAAAATAATAGCTGCATAATGACAAGCCATCAAACTATATATCATATTCTTTAATTATAATAAAAATATCCTGCTCAGAACTGCCGCTTCATAACATCATCCTATTATTGTGACAGACTTAATCTCAGATCTTTAGCAAAGTTTGCAGTGTTACCAAAGTCTTTCACTGTCTTTGCACACACATCACACACAGCAGCATTATTACCTTCACTGCTAAAATACAGCCAGACGTGACTGTTTTTACAGTCAGCCAGAGTCAGTATTCAATCGCGGGAAATGTAAAGAGCTGCAGTGGCTCACTTCAAAGAAGCTCCATCACAGAGCCGTAGCGCAAGCATGACTTTGACAGGCGGAAGGACAAGTAGTTCCTATCAACCGAGTATAATTATCATCCTGGTAACAGTAAGATAATTATGATAAAACACACACTCACTCCAAATGACTGAGTTTAGATATTGATCCTTTATGAGTATCGATCCTCAAGCAGGAAACGCTGGTATCAGAAATATCGATATTTTCGGGTCGATCCGCACATCACTACTGAGTACAATTCCCCTCCTATTCAGAAAAGGAGAATTACTATATATTACTATTATTATATCCACAAATAAAGTCCTCAATATTCTACTCAAGTATAAATGTATTCCACAGTGAATGTACTTAAGTATCAAAAGTAAAAGTGCTCATTCTGGATGGCATTGTTGTTTCTCAGTTCTTGCGTGCATTCAGTCCTTAATGAATTCATCTCTGAACATCTTGTCAAAGTTATGCTGGATGTGACTACCTTAACAAATTGGAAAACATAAAATTTTCATAAAAAAAAAAAAATTACATAAGTATTTTCATTGACAAAATATATTTTATCTTCTTTCTTCTCAGTGACTTGGAACAGGGTTCAGATAAACAGCAATAAATACAATAAGTACAATGCAGGATTTGAAATTCAAGGGGGTAAAAGTATAAAGCTTCCTAAAAAACAACTCAAGTGCAAGTATCTCAACATTTGACTTAAGTAAATGACTTGAGTAAAATATCACTAAGGTCACTAAGACAAAACTGAGACATACACTATCTTGGAACCTTTTTCTGATCCACATTCTGGAGATTCATACATTCTCAGTTCAGACTTATTTACGATAATTTAAAGATCTTGTCTTTTGATCAGAGTAAGAGACACAGGCCCCATCCACACTACTGCCTTTTCGTTTTCAAACGGAGACCTTTTGCTACGTTTGCACCTCCTATCCAGACTAAAACGGGGAAAACGAAGACCTAAAATGGAGGAGTTTGGACACGCTGCCGACCCCGTTTTGCGTTTCAAAACTCCGGAGCGCGTTTTAGCGAAGACGGGCCAAAACGGAGGACTTTAGAAACGATGACGCAGCCGCTCACACTCTCTGATTGGGTCTTATAAGTCATGCAAAGCAGAAACACATTTAGTTTTGGTATTTTTATTATAATATTCTGTACCATGCAAATAACACTTAGGCCTATCTGCCTACACTTGTAGTCTACTGTACCGTTTGTAAACTAAAATGTAGTAGTGTGGATGGGGCCACAGATCAGTTAGATAGTGACCTAGTGACCTTAAATTAGACTTATTTAAGAGAGTTGAGAGATCTCTTCTTTTGATCAGAGTAAGACATACATGAGATTGTATATGGTTCCTGAGCAGAACTTGAGAAGTAAGAGAAAAAGCCCCACCTTAGTGTTAAAAGTAGCTCATCTGTGTACATTTACTTTTATTCAAAGTGACTAGCATTTGAGGAACAACATACAAGCATCAATAAATCATCAATACAGTAAAAGGTCTTATTAAAGCCACTGATGTTTTTCCCCTTTTTCAGCCAGGAATCTATTGTTGCTATTGTTATATGCTATAAACAGTTTTCTTTATCCTGAAATAATGGAAAGAATGTGAGACAGATAGACGTGGTCTGTCGTTGCTGAAATCTCCAAAATTATTTATTTACATATTCACATGCTCATAACGTGTTCACAATAAAATCCCAAATTCAAAATATTTTCGTAAATACTTTCATCTCTCAAAATATGTTTTGGCTATTATTACACTGTAAAATGCACTGATACACGGACAGCATTAAGTATTACCCAGACTTGCTAACACTATAACAATATTAATCACAAAACATATACAAATGTGCACACTTAAAGAGGTGGTATTATGCTCATTTTCAGGTTCAAAATCTTAATTAGGGGTTGTAATTTTCAAAAAACACCATATTTTTCTCATACTGCACATTGCTGCAGCTCCTCCTTTCACCCTGTGTGTTGTACACTCCGCTCTTGAGCTACAGAGTGATGCATCTTACTTTTTTGGGTGTTGCACATGCACAGTTCTCATGTAAGGACTACTAGCCAATCAGAAGCAGAGAAGGGCGGGTCGTAAGAAACAAGGTAGTGTGATCCAAATCAAAGCCGCTTCAGACTGCGACCGTAACCTAGCATTTGGTATAAGTTACTCACAAGTCCACAACCACACAACATCATTGTTCCACATCTTACAATCAGGACTAAACTTTGAACTGTGTTCTGATGATCTATGCTGCCTTGCCGAAAAATGCTACCATAGCGCAAATCGATAGACTCGACTCTACTCGGCCCTGCTCCTTTTTGTATTGCAGATAGTACCCGCAGATAGTACGTAGCTCGTTGCCATAGTGACGCCACACACAACTGCCGCGACGTAATGTTCAATGCGACACACACACACCAGCGATCCACACAGCTCTCTCTTTTTTAAGTTAAAACGTTTCAACATTACTCAGAATGTAAAGACAGATAAGCGGTATGAAAACCTTCCAGCTGTGTTTTCCTCTGCCGTTGTTGCTGCAGCGGTCTGTGTGACGGCGGGAGCAGAGGGCTCTGTGAGCGGGCGGCTGGCCGGCCTCACACGCTCCTCCCGCGGGTTGGTACAGGCTTCCCTCGCAGCCACTTGCGGAGCTCCTCAACTCCGACAATATTCAAGCACATTTTTGTTCCGCTGTCACTTCTTGTAAAACTGTCAACATTCGAAATCTACACAGCTGATTTCTCACCTCATCAGCAGTCTGTATTTTTTCACGTTACATTTTAGTATCTCTCAGCTCGCTTGGAACCTCGACGGAGGTGAGGTGATGGAAAAAAAGTACCTGGAAGCAGGTACAGGTGCAACATTTCTACAATGGAAACCCAAACAAAGGCGAGTCGAGCCAAAGGGCCTCCGCTCAGACTAGCTTGGTTTGAGGGCGTGCCTGACCCCACTTTATGACGCGTTTTCATTGTGATGTCACAAGTAAAGGAAGTGAAGGGCTGGACTACAAATGAGCTGTTTTCAAGCGGTTCAGAGCAGTGTGGGTGATGGGAACTCCCTTTGGGCTGGACTTTGGGCTTTTTCACTTTGCAAACCTGTTACATGAACAGAAAAGAGATATAACTCAATATAGGAGAGGAAAAAAGCCAAACAGCATAATACCACCTCTTTAAAACATTTTCAACACAGTTTTTAAAAATAACACAATTCAAAAATAGTATGACATGCCAAATAGGGATGCAACGATCTGATATTGAAATCAGATATTGTCCGATTGACCCATATAGCTATATCGGGTATCGGTGACAAAGGGCGAATCTATTCACTTCAATTACGCGTACTACAATTATGCGTTAGCAGTGCGCCAGTAGACCAGAACATTTTGCTAGGAGAGCTAACTTAGCATTTTTGTACTTCAGCAAGCCAGCTATAAGAAGAAGAAATATATGTACAATGTAATTTCTTTGGAAGAAGCTATCTCTCTATTCTCAGTGTGGATATCATACTGCGAGGCTGCAAAGAGAGTTGTTGTCAGAGCAAGCGAGGAAGAGATAAACAGTGAGACAAATCAAGCAACTGGACAAGAGTGAATATCAGACTGACTTTTACTGTTGGCGTGAGCTAAAAGCTAAAAGGATGAAGTACAGATGCCAAGCTTTTTTCTGTTGGACTAGTCAGTAATAACTTATTAGCTGGCTTGCTGTGTCTTGTGTTGCTGCTCTTGCTTGATGTTTGCCTGTGTTAGCAAAGTTGTTTGTTGCTAGTTTTTGATTTTGGGGTGTACTCACACTAGGCGATCCGTACCATGCCTGAGCACATTTTACCCCCAAAGTCTGGTTCGTTGGCCCATTGTGATCGCTCCATGCCTTGCCCGTAAAAGAAATCCTGTATCTATATGTGGCGGTCAGCGTTGATACTGTGGCGGGCCGCCGCAAACATATAAATGTATAGAAAACACTGACCCAGTGATGACGTAAACATGCTCCCACTCGGATCGTTACGCACAGTGTGACTGCAGGCCAAAAGGGGAGTGGGGTCATGGGGAAATCGTGCTTGAGCACGATACAAGTCAACTGGGCCTAATGTGAGTACGCCCTTAATGTAATCATAAAAAATGCACATGTACAACTGTCTTTATACACTCACCGGCCACTTTATCAGGTACACCTATTCAATTGTTTACACAAATAGCTAATCAACCAATCACATGGCAGCAACTCAATGCATTTAGGCATGTAGACGTGGTCATGGCAACTTGTTGAAGTTCAAACCCGAGCATCAGAATGGGGAAGAAAGGGAATTTAAGTGACTCTGAACGTGGCATGGTCTGAGTATTTCAGAAACTGATGATCTACTGGGATTTTCACACACAACCATCTCTAGGGTTTACAGAGAATGATCCGAAAAATAAAAAATATCCAGTTGTGTGGATGAAAATACCATGTTGATGTCAGAGGTCAGAGGTGAATGGGCAGACTGGTTCGAGATGACAGTAAGGCAAATAGTCAAATAACCACTTGTTATAACCAAGGTATGCAGAATGCCAACTCTGAACGCACAACACGTCGAACCTTGAAGCAGATGGGTTTCTGCAGCAGAAGACCACACAGGGTGCCACTCCTGTCAGCCAAGAACAGGAAACCAAGGCTACAAGCTAGGTGTGCCTTGCTAGTACAGTGTGCACTAACATGCATGTATGTGTGAGAGTGTGTTTGGACCACAGTCTATGGTTTGGACTGAAGTTTGACTGTTTCAGGATCTGGCCCTTTCTACATAAGCATACATGCTCTCTGGCAGAGTCCTGCCTCTCTCAGGTGATCCCACAGGTCCAGTGTGAAGCCCTACCGAGCTGTAGGTGGTGGTTGGAGAAAGACCTGAAGCATCTGTTGGGATCTGATTCAGAGGATGGGTTGTAGATTCAACCTGGGAAATAAATCACATATTTTGAGCAGAGGTTGTTTTTACTTTACACTTTATTTCTAATTGTGCTATTATACACTATTAACATTTGAAGTAGTCTCACTACACTTAACAGCAGGTCATATATATCCTTCATAAACTACAAACTATTTTACCATTCACTACAAAAAACCTAAGATGCATAAAATGGCTATAAAACAAATATTTAGGTGTTTTTCATCAAGAGCAGAATGAGGATGGTTGGAGATGGTTTCACTGTGTCTAAAGAAAATGTTTTAGTTTAATGCCTCAAACAAAACTCTTAGCTACGAGAGCACAACACACTGCAGCTTAAACAGAAGCACATAAAGAAAGTGTCTACACCACTTTGACAACACATGCACAGAAAAAGACAGTGAAAGCTACAATTTTACTGTACTTACTGTTTACACAACTATCACAAACATCAAGGGCAGATTTCACTTGAGAGTCCTTTGTTCACAGTACTCTCAATATTCACTGTGTAAGAAAATGCAGAAGTGTAAAACCTTTGGCTCAGTATGAAGTCAGCTGTAGCCTAGGTTACCTGGTGTGTGTCAAATTACAGGGAGAAGAAAATACATGGCCTAATGTAAATAACATTGTTGAAGTATTTTCGTTTTAGACATGAGTATGTGATATTGATGGATTTGTGAAGAGGCTTTTGGAACATTTGCTTTTTTGCAATCACATCTCCTAAAAAATTTATTTTTTGTGGGGTCATGTTGAGGTCAGTAGGTAGAGCATGCCCCCCATGTACTAAGGCTCAGTCCTTGTTGCAGCGGCCTGGGTTTGAGTCTGACTTGCAGCCCTTTGCTGCATGTCGCTCCCTCTCTCTCTCCCACATTTCCTGTCCCTCTCCATGTACTATCTCATTAAAGACAAAAGCACAAAAAGAGGTACTTTTTGTTTCTAACAATGTATAAACATAATGTAAAAACTTTTTAAAGCGAACAACACATACACAGCATAGACAAATGCACAGCATCGTGGTGCATCAGGAAATTCATCAGGTCCAAAGTTTCACATTTCAGCATAAGCAGCACAACCAGTGACGGGCATGTGGAAAGCAGCAGGACCTGGAACAGCAGATTGATGCAGAAGTTGGTGTAGCGAAGAGTCACAGGTCTGAATTGTTGAAATTCTCGAAATTCTGTCCCTGTGCTTGACAAACAAATTTGGGAGAGTGATTTTAAAAAAACTTGACACTTACCTGAGGAGTTGCATATATTGTGTTTTCAATGTTCTCTCTTTTGTCTGTAGATCAGTAATAAAAAATCATGTTGTTTGCTTAAATTTACATTTCATTTTGAGATCTTAAAGGGATAGTTCAGGATTCTCCAGCAGTGTAATACAGCAAGCTGTCAAGTTGCGCTTAGGTGTAGAAATGAAGTTCCGGTTGAGAAAATGTAGTTCCAAAGGAAATGACTGTGTGATGGCAAGGTAAAGAGCTGAAAATATTAAGCACATAGCATACACTTGAACTGATATTGATTTTATTTTGGTGGGCCATCTTTCAGGTGGCTAAAATACGTTCTGATGACCCTGTCCACAGCAGCACATTGCTTTGCTTCTGTACCAGGACAACTCTCTGCTTCTTAGTGTTGTGTCGTTCAAAGAACGTTTCGTTCATAAGACCTAATCGTGTGTATGACTCGGGAGGAACGGGTTGTCTCAGTGAGTGATTCGTTCATTTTCACGCATGCGTGAAGGATCTTGGACTCTTACGTTCACTCGTCACACGGCAGCTGCATGGGCTCCGTCAGCACAGGAAACAGTATTGATTAGTTCACGACTCTCAACTGTCGGTCTCTGGGTTTGAGTCGTTCATTTGTCACGTGATAGCTCGGCTACAGGGCTGTGGTAAGCAGGCAGCACAGGAAACAGAACTGATTAATTCACGACTCTCAACTGTGGGTCTCTAGGTCTGAGTCGTTCATTTGTCACGCGACAGCTCCTACTGTGGAGCAGGAATGAACGACTCGTTCACCGCTCACATGGGTCCTCAGTCTTTCGTTCATTCTGCAGGCTGAGTGACAGCCAGCGCCGGAGAATGAGAGGAAGGTCGGCTGTCAGGTAACAGTCACTGGACTGATTTTATATAGCTATTTTGTTAATTATGTGACATTTTATAAAGCACAACATTATTACAGTGCAGTGATGTTGTGCTAAGTTATAGTTTTAACACAGCCGTACCATAACTTTAGTCCTGCTAGTGTTTACAGCTAACAGCTGATGAGAGTTGTTCTGGGTCCGCTCCACTTCAGAGCCCTGACAAGGTTCTACCGGGAGCCGAATTACCTCCGAGGTCGTCTCCTCTCCAAAACAAACAGACCCGGTCATTAAAACATTAAAACACAGCCACATAGCAATGTTAGCGTTAGCTCTGTAAACAGCTAACAGCTGATCCAGGTCCGCCAGAGAACGCAACTTAACTTTTCCTTTTTATTTACCAACAGAGCCGTGCTGTTGTTTCACAGCTCATGACTGGTGAACAACCTGCAGTGTTTGAGAGCGATGTGCTCATGTGTGTTTCTCTGGATAGTGAGGTTAGGCTACTGTATGAATGAGCACTTCAGAGATAATGATAGTAATTATATACATAAGCCTTTAAATGGCTGGTCTGGTTGTATACTCTGGAAAGATTGTGAAAATGGATGGATTTAGCCGGAGTAGTGGATTGCATATAGACAACATATTTCTGTGGGTTTTACATGGTTTGAATTTGGTTGTGGGCCCAGATGGGTTTATATAATGATGATAGAGAGTGATCAAGAGGTGAATTTGTGTGTTAGACTTTGACAATTAAAGCAAGCCAGGCAGCCTTCCGCGTTTTAGAACAGTGCTGTTTTTTAATCGCCCACTAGAGGCTGCAGCGCCAAAATTAGCCAGCCTAGTTCAAATGAACGAAATGATTAGTTTATTTTAATGAATGAGATTTGGAGATTCGAGTCTGTCAAAAGAGTTGAACTTGCCATCACTACAGCTTCTCCAAACTGCAGACACGCTCACCACCATCTATTGCATGCTCTAATACACTGACAATGGATAAGTACCTCATATAGTCCCACTTCAAAAATACAGAACTATCCCTTTAACTGCATTACATTCATTTTACTTGAGCTGCACCCACATTGAGTCCAGATTTTGTGAGTCTAAATTACTGAATTTTCACACAGTACATTTTAAATCCACCAGAAAACAAATAGGACTTTGCAGATTGTACTTCTGTCTACTATGTTAAAATGCACACTTGAACTTACATTTTCTTTTTTTTTTGCTCTTTTGATGATAACAGACTGCTGCACCAATTGCCATGGGAACTGCTATAAAAGCAACAAGCACTGGGACAATAATGTTGTCGTCTTGTTTACCTTGATCTGTAAAGAAAAACAAATGCCAGATTAGAAAATGAGGCCTGGTTCAAGTCACCCAACATAGCTACTGTAGTGTAAGTGAGCTACTGTGGCATTACATCTAGCCACCTTGTAGTTTTAACAGACTGCAGTTTTGATTGTTCAAATTTCTTGGTAACAGACCTGATCTGTGTAAGAAATAATTTAATTTGTTCAATTGGTAGAGTCAAACTGTCACAAATTACAACTACCAGCCTTCAAAAGGTAACTGAATCAGCTTGTTGATATACCTGCCTCTTGGTTTTATCATCCTGGTAAAGGTTATTAATGTTAGTTCTGCCATCAAAATATCAGAGCCGCACAGAAAATTCCACCGATCATTTGCTAGTTTAGCTTTTTCTTGTTGAGAACATTTTTATTGGTTTCATGTTGACAGAATACCATATATACATAAACAGATATACTCACTCACTCCCTCACTCTTGTTGAATTGAAGCTGTCTTGTACATTATTTTGCAGTGTACATTAGTTGAATTAATATGGCTTCACTTGCTCATGGACAATCATCTTACTTTCTAGTTCATCAAGACATGCTTTTGTTGTAATATTAGCTATAGCAGCAAGAGAGTTGTATCGCTGTCTGGAGATGCTGGGCTGGTCTGGTCTGGGACCGTCTCATCTTCTCATGTTTACTTTGCAGCAGCAAGAAGCAACAGTTTGCTAACACAGAACCTAGCTAATGGTAGTTACATTACTTGTGTTGTTGTTCACTCTATATCATGGTATTTGGATTTCTCCAGGAACACTTACCCCACCTTTAATGATGCAGAGAAAAATCATGACTTATTAATATTTCTTTATCGGGATATATATCCTTATACTGTATATCCCGATACAGAATATCCCAATATATTGGGATATGAAATGACCTGTATATTGGCATATGAGATATTAGTTATATCCCACAGCCCTATTGTCAGGTGGTTGTTTTGGCTTTCAGGCTTACCAGCATCTAACTGGCAGAAATGCTGAATCTTTGTCATGCTGTTTTTCCAGCTGACCTGGTTACTATGGTTACAGATGATTGAGTCATTCATTTAAAATGATCAATTACTTATCTGCTAACTCTTAACATAACTCCAAACTGTACTGCATTATTGTCAACAAGTCATTTTGTTTGTCAGTCTTACCAGCCTGGGGACATAAGTGTTTGGTCTTTTTAATGTCCTCGGTCCAGCTGACCTGGTTGCTATGGTTACAGATGATTGAGTCATTCAGCAGGTAGACATGTAGAGAAGCAGCAGAGGTTGTGACCTCTGATCGCTCTCCTCCCTCCGGACTGCAGGTTTGGTTGTCACATGTGAAAGTGCTGCTGATGTGAGAGTCCTGTGTTCTGCAGGTCACAGTGAGGTTACAGGAGTCTGAGCTGCTGGACGCAGAGTCCACTGACAGTTCAACTGGAGACACTGGACCTGAGGAGGGAACGTTTAAGTGAAATTTTTAGAAACATGGCAGCAGATTCTCTCTGTCAGTGTCTGAAATATTAACAAACCTACCTTGAACTCTGAAGTTGTATTCAGCTAGTATTCGTTCTTCGTCAGACCCTGTCACTCGTGCAGTATAAACTCCATTGTCTGCCTCTTGTAGATTGTTTAATTTCAGTGAGTATTTTTTCACATCAGTCTCAATCCTTCCAGTGTAATTATTAGAGACTTTTGGTTCTTTATCAGGAAAAAATGTAACTAAAACATCCATTTTATTGAATTTCCATGAAAGAATAAAAAAGTTCTCAGGAACATCAGCAGTCGTGATGTTCAGGAGAACATCCTTTCCCTTCTGCACAAACACAGGAGTCACAGCACTGGAGCCTGTAAAAACAGTAGACAAACTATTATTTTATTTTATTTTTTTAGCTAAAACCTAAATCTCCATTCCTACTACATTTCGAACACATTGGACCATCAGTTCAATATTATGAAGTATCTTCAGCAACTCAAGGTTTATTAAGGGTTGGCAAAATGTTTTTTTTTTATTGAAATCTAGACCGCCCCTGGCAATGTTTTAATTATTTTTGTTTTCCTATATATTTGTATACTTCTTTATGTCCCATCATCTCTTTTTGCAATAAAAATTTTAGTAGTGTAGAGGACATGTAGTCCTCTATTTGTCCAAATTTCACTTATTTTCTTACTTCTGATAAACCAGATGACTACTACTGCTATTCATACTACTTCTTCCTCTTGTGTGTATTAAATGTAGTGACGAAATGCACTCTGTAGAGCAGTTTTTCAGTTTGACTACTGTAGAAACATGGCTGCGCAACATGGCGATGTGCATGTAAGAGGACTCACGGTGTATGTAGATAGAAATGGCTCATTCTAAGGTAATATAAACATAACAGTTCATTATGTAAGTAATTTATACACCACTGAAAACATAGTTATGTCTATTATATTGCATCTCTGCAAATAGATCCTTCTAAATATAACACACTTTTTTCTGCTCGCTGTTGAGTTTTTATGTGGAAAAAGACTTCTCTGTAAAATTGCCTCAGTTCTTGCACCCTAGACTAGAAGACACACATATGGGCTATGTGAAATCCTCTCTTTCTGCATTACAATATCACTTAGTATTGTATATTTACTTCAGTACAATAGCTGTGTACTGTTTAGCCCCCGTGGTGGAAGGAGGAGGCATGGTCTCTTCGCCTGGTTCTTCACCAGTCATGTGGAAAGTGCTGTATTACAGAGGTGAATTATTGCAAATATATACATTAAAAAATAATTAAAAAAACAACAACTAGGAGTCTAACTAACTAACTAAGAAATATTATTTAAAAAATCTGTCTTTACCTTGCATTTGACAGGAAGACAGCAGACAAATAGCACAGATTAATGAAAACAGTTCCATTTTGTCACATATGAGGGAGTGACCTTCCTTCCGCCTTTATACTGCAGCTCAAGAAACTTCCACAGGAAGTTAGAGAGAGAGAGAGAGAGAGAGAGAGAGAGAGAGAGAGAGAGAGAGAGAGAGAGAGAGAGAGAGAGAGAGAGATTCAAAACACACTTTTATTAGTCACTACTCGCTCACACACGATACATTTATATCGTCAACACATCAGCAGCTGACATTTGTTCTTCTGATGTTGAGTGTATTTAAAACCACAAATAAAAACCGGTTTAGTAAAAAACTCTTTAAAACCCCTAAAGATGTTTTCCAGCAAAACAAACAGAGACATGAGATGTGTGCACTCTAAAAAACAGTGAAACACGGTCTCCCTCTGCAGACAGAAAGGACACTGGTCCTGTACATTCCCATTCAGCACAGACACAAAAGAGTTTACAGCCAGTATTCCATGAAGGATTCTCCACTGTAGATCTGCATGTCTCTTTGTCAGGGGGGGGTTTATACAGAGACCTCCAGGCAGGTCGAAAATCAGGGCTTAAACCCAAATGAGTCCTCCAGGGGGTGTCGCTACGTCCATTAAGTGTCTTTTTGTTGAGCGTTTTTACCAACAGTCTGTACAGTGTCTTTCCTGTGGCATCACTCAGAGACACCCCAGCCGAGTTGACCAGTAAAGGTCCCGAAACATCGGTCAAGTCAGGAGACAGAGTGGTAAAAGGATATGGGTCAGTGTCGTCCGGCAGCAGAGAGCTGTCTCTATAGTCCATCAGGAGAGAGACCTCGTGTCCTGTCAGCTGATGTCTCCAGTGTCTCAATAACAGACTGACATAGCGGCTCGACCTCAGCCCCAGACGAACCGCCAGACCAGCAGGACGGTCCAACCGAGGTCCGGTCAGCTCCTCCACCTGCCCCAGCGTGGAGATCCTGGCAGTGCGGAGCTTGTCAAACAGAGTGGGTGAAAACTCCCCAAGACAGTCCAGACGTCCTCCAAACAGAACAGGCTCCTTAAGCAGCCAATACAAGGAGTCAGTGTGTCCCTGTCTCTGTTTGTTCATCAACATCCATACTTTAATAACACTTTGGTAAAACCCAGAGAGGACATGCACACACCTTTTAAGTTCATTAAAAACAGAGACAAGCTCAGTCCTAGTCCACCAAACTGCTGCAGAATACAGTAGGACAGTGGCCTCCACACCAGGTCTGCAGGCCCAGTGAGGAGTCTCTGGACAAACTGCAAGCGGAGAGTAGCCCCCCTGCTGGCCAAGTGGACCAGGCCCTGCCCTCCTTCCTCTTTTGTAAGGAAAAGCATGCTCTGAGGAATCCAGTGTAACTTGTCCCAGAAAAAATCCACTAATATTCTTTGTATGTTTGGCAGGAGAGAGGGTGGAGGGTCAACGCAGGCCAAACGGTGCCACAGAGCCGAAGAAACCAAATTATTTGCAACCAAAACCCGACCTTTAAAATACATTTTAGGCAGCAACCATTTCCACTTGTTCAGGTGACCTTTGACCTTCTCCAAAACTCTATCCCAGTTTTTCTTCAAAGATGCTTCGTTTCCCAGAAACACCCCTAAATATTTCAGCCCTCCTGTTTTCCAGAAAAGGCCTCCAGGCAGACTGAGCTGACTCTTCAGCCTCTCTCCCACCATCACAGCCTCACTCTTCACCCAGTTCACTTTAGCAGATGATATCAGGCCATACAGATTTAAGGTTTCTCCCAACACATCAATATCTCTTTGCTTTTTCACCAGAACGATGATATCATCTGCATATGCAGACAGTTTGAAAAGAATGTCACATTTAGGAAAACAGACACCAGAGAGAGCAGACCTTAGTCTGTGAAGCAGAGGTTCAATGGCCAGAGAATATAACATGCCAGACAGAGAGCAGCCCTGCCTCACCCCCCTCTGTACTAAAGGGAGCGCTCAGGCCTCCATTTATCTTCAGAACACTCGCAATGTCACAGTACAAAACCTGGATCTTGGCTATGAAACGTGGGTTGAAACCAAAGGCAGTCAGAGTCCGCCACAGATACTGGTGTTCAACCCGATCAAAAGCCTTTTCCTGGTCTATTGAAATCAGACCAGTATCTACAGCCAATGAACTAGAGACTTCCAAAACATCTCGAATCAGAGTGATATTGTCACTGATAAACCTACTGGGTACACAGTAGGTCTGGTCAACATGAATTACAGACCCCATCACCTGTCTGAGTCTGGAAGCCAGGACTTTAGACAGGATTTTGTAGTCCGAGCAGAGTAGCGACACAGGCCTCCAGTTTTTCAGCTCCTGCAAATCACCCTTCTTTGGTAGCAGAGTGATCACTGCCCTCCTGCAGCTCAGAGGCAGACGACCCGTCTCCAAACTGTCACCAAGCACTTCCAGCAGATCCTGTCCCAGCACACACCAGAAAGACTTATAAAACTCCACAGGAAGGCCGTCAATCCCCGGAGCTCGACCACTCTGCAGACTCATCACAGCACGATACAGTTCAGGTAGAGACAGCTGAGCTTCCAGCTCTACATTGTGCTCATCACTGACCTGAGGAAGATCAGCATAAAAGAGTTCTTCTACCTCTGGATGGTCTGTCAGCTCGCTCCTGTACAGTTCTTTATAGAAACTGGCTGCGTGCTTTCTGATCTCAGAGGAATCAGAGACGCAAACTCCGTCTCTGGATCGAATGGAGTGAAAGATCTTTCTCTGCCCGTTTTTCTTCTCCAAACCAAAGAAGAAATGTGACGGGGCATCCATCTGTGTGGCGTCCAGGAACCGAGACCTCACCAGAGCCCCCTGAGCTGTCACACCCAGCAGGCTGGCCAAAGCCAACTTTTTAGATTTTAGGGAATCTAAGTGTCCCTGATTTCCTGTGGCCCCTACTAGACCCTGTAGTTCTACCACTTCAATCTCCAGATCCTTCAAAGATCTGATAATGTCCCTGGTGACATTGCGAGTGTACTGCTGACACAGCTGTTTAATCTGGCTTTTTCCAAAGTCCCACCACTGCTGAATACATTTGAAATCAGCCTTAGTTTCTCTGTGAGTGCGCCAGAAAAACTCAAAAGCAGACTTAAACTCTTTGTCATGCAACAGTGCAGTATTAAAATGCCAATAAGCACTGCTCAATCTGACGTTTTTAATAAAAACAGAACAATAAACAAGACAGTGATCATTAAAACCCACAGGGTTAATAAAACAACCTTTAAAGACATTGATGTGATGCTTGAAACAGTAAAACCGATCTAATCTAGCCTGAGATAAAACATTCTCTTTGCAGCGACTCCATGTGTACTGTCTCTGACTTTTATTAAAGCTCCTCCACACGTCCAGCAGCTCGTGTGTTTCTATGAGCTGTTGTAGGCTCTGTGAGGAGGCTCTGTGAGGCTCCTGGTGATTCCTGTCCAGCTGTGGATTCTCTGTACAGTTAAAATCACCTCCCAAGAATAAAAACTCATCACTGCTGCATTTTCTGACAGTATTGCTTAAAACACTCAGCACGTGCAGCCTTTACATGGGACATAGACATTTATCAGATTCATCTTTATATTCTCATACTGAACTTTAACCTTCAGTAGACAGCCTTCAATGACTTCCTCCACCTCACAAGATGCAGGCAGGAAACCTCTGGAGAAAAAAAGCCCAACCCCTCCACTGCAGCTGGACTGATGGCTCAGAACAACCTGCCCTGGCCACTCTTTCTTCCACTGACTCTCATTTTCAGAGTTACTGTGTGTTTCCTGAACCATCAGTACGTCTAGCTGCTTAAACTCCATGAGTTTAAAAAGGGCAGCTCTCTTTGTGTCGTCCCTCGCTCCATTTAGATTTAAAGTGCCAATTTTAAAGTGACCCATGGAGAGAGAGAAAAATAATAAAGAAACACAAAACAAACATTTCAGGAAGAAAAAGAAGAGAAGAGGCTGTTTAAACATCATCACCAATAATTTGAGCTTTCACCTTAATGATCAGCTTTCTGAGGCGATATATCTCCTGCTCTGTGAGGCCTTCATCACCAAAACCTCCTGAAGCTCTAGTAAGAGGTTGAGCTGAACTGACAAACAGTTTCAGGTCTGGGAAAAAGTTCTCAACCTTCAACAGCCTGAGACCCTTAGTGTCCTGAAGGAACTTTTGTATTTGAGCTAAAGTGTAGCTGCTGCTCCCCTCCTCTTGTGAAATCACTGTTTTCTAATGAGCGTGTTTTTCTCTTTCTTTCCTTTAGCAAATTTAGCTCTGCTCTGAACACTTTCTGTGCTCTTTCTCTTCTGTGCGATTTTCATTAGATCCTCATCAGATATATCCTCATCCTCAATAAAGTCAGAACACACTGAAATGTTGCTGCTCTGAGAACATTCATTCAACTGACTGTTATACACCTGTTCACTGTTGTTCTCATTTTCTCCCTGGTCAATGTTCAGTTCTGTTTCTGTGTCTCCCTGTCCGCTTTCTCTTTCTTGCAGTTCAACATTAGACACACTGGACATGATTTTATTATCAGACAATCTCTCAGCGACTTCCTTGGCCAAGGAACATCCACCGGGACCCTCCAACGCGGCCGCATCAGCCGCAGCTACGGCGGGCACCGCGTCAGGTGCCGCAGTCCCATCGGTACCGGGGGCCTTGCCACCGCGCCAGCGGTAGCCGCGCTGGGCACCGCGGTAGCGGCCGACGCCGCCGCAACATCTCCCTGCTCTCTTAAAATGTTTTTCGGGCATGAGCGAATTAGATGGCCCTCTGCACCACAGCCAAAACATTTCATGGTTTCCAAAGTTGCAAAAACCATGTAATTAAATCCGTCCACATTGAAATTAAAAGATAAATTAATTTCTGACGAGTTGTTCTTTAGCACCATGAAAACCTGTCTTCTGTGACAAACAACGTGTTTCAACAATGGAGACTTACAGCCCAGGGACACCATCTTGATGGGGGACACCACCTGTCCATACCTGGATAGCTCTTTTAACAATAAGTCATTTTTTAAGAACGGGGGAGCGTTGGAGATGGTTACTTTCCTGGCAGGGTTAACCAGAGGGAGAACCGGGGTAAAAGTATCTTTAATAATTACCCCTTTTTCTACCACATCGTTTACTTTGTCAGTGTGATCTAAAAACACCACAATGGCTCCGTTCATGCGGGAGGCAGACTTAATGCTGCCATAACCCACCACCTCTCCCACCGCTAAACTCGCCTTCTCCACCGAGCAGCTGACAGCCGCCACCAACTTCACTGCATGTCGGCGTGTCAGCTTCACAAAATCGACTTCCACATCTACAACGGGCATGCTGCCCAGCCAGGCTGGAAGCACCGCCACCAACAAACACAACCACAAAAGACAAAACTCTCAACTAACACGATATAAAGAGACAAAAGACATAAAAGTTTGGAAACTCACTCAAGGCAGCGTTCACCACAGCGTTCACCACACCACCACTCACCTTCCACTCAGAGAGAGAGAGAGAGAGAGAGAGAGAGAGAGAGAGAGAGAGAGAGAGAGAGAGAGAGAGAGAGAGAGAGAGAGAGAGAGAGAGATTGTTCAGTTGGCATTTTGTCTTTTTTGACAGCCAGACAAGAAACATGGAGAGGTGGGGGGGGCAAAGGTCTCCTGGCCAAGAATCACACAGTGGTCGTTGCTGTTATGTGGTGTGTGTAGTTAACTAGTAGGCTACTGGGGCACCCAGACACACTATATTAATAACTATTTGCTATACATTTAATTTATGGGGGACGACACGGTAGCTCCGCTTTAATTTTAAGAAGTTTCAGACCTGTCTCTGTTTATTAGTCAGTGTAGGCTAAATATACAGAGGTAGATTTCTCTTCAGTGTGTTCTTCTTCTGCCACTACACACCTCGACTATGAGATTGATAGTGAAATCATGCTCCGCCCATCGAAGCATCAAATATTCCACTATTCAGGGTCTGCCCTACACTACTCCATACATTTATTTTTGCACTTCACATCGCTACCGATTGATCACTGCGTTCCATCAAGCAATACAAAGTTTTATTGTGCCAGCATTTTCATTTATATATTTCATCAGCTGATTCTACTTGCATGGCCGCCAGCTGCTTTCATCAGGTGCATCTGTCAGATCGGCTGGATGTGCAGGCTATTTTTCTTTAGTGCAGTTTAGTGACTATCGGCCTCATGAGACAGAATGGAAATGTCAATAAACAATGTAAAAAGTGTTTCTCGCAGACAGTCTGACAGACTCTCTGACTCTGTGACTTTAACTGTCTCCATAGTAAAGGTCAATGGGAGAAATAACAGAGAAGGGAAATCTGTTAATAAATGAAGAAAGTTGTGTGTAGTCCTTTTTCCTTATTCATACATTTCATCATTTGATTTTACTCACAGAGCCACCAGCTGCTTTCATCAGATGCAGTTGGTGAGATGTGCCGGGTTTGTTCAGGCTTAATTTTCCTTTACTTGCTTCATTAGAGACTTTAGTGCAGTTTAGTGACATGTTTAGTCTGTTTCTTTACTTGTTTACTACGTTTCATTGTTGTCTATTGGGACTAAAACTCAGGAAATATCAGCCTTTTATGAATAAAATAACAACCAGGCAGCCGATATGCACACTTCATTATCTGTTTATTTATGGCAAGTCATATTGTTATCTCAACAACATTATTGTACATTGCAGATTTTCCTCATATCATGCAGGCCTACCTCACACCCTTGTTCGCTTCATTTCTCATTTGGGGAATTGGTTGCTTGCTAGGATGGCTGAATTTGCAAAGTGGTCAAAGGCTTGACTTAATTTCACTAAAGCCAAAGATAAGGATGCCACTTATGTTCCAAGTTAATTTCTTAAAAGCACCTCTGTCTGTCTTCAAGTCAGAATATCGTTATCTCCGACTGCCCTTGGGTCTCGTTTTTCTAACAAGTAATAGAAAAGTATCGATAGTGGTATCAATAAAGATCATCAAACTGTCTCAATAATGATTAGGGTTGCCACCTTCAATACAGAAAAATAAGGGGCGCCTGCCGCAGCGAAGCAATAACAGTGTCTGTTGGGGTAATGCTATTAAGTTAAATAATATACATACATACACACATGCTTCAAAACTACTACTACTACGGTTGCAAGTGGTGTGCATTTAATTGGACATGCTCATTGGTGTACTTACCATACATGCAAACTAGAATTGTATACAGTGTTCCAGGATGGTGTCTCATTCATAGTAAAGTTTGCTCACCAGGGCACATGGTGGTATTTTGTACAAATGTAGAACGACTTGCGTATAATTTCACTTTAAACAGAAGTCAGTTGGATCAAAAGTAACACACAGGACTGTCGAAAGTAAGGAGAGTCAAAAGTAACCTACAGGAGGGTTAAAAGTTACACAACTAGATTTGTGTTTCCCTTGTTTTTATTAAATATACGTGACTATGACCTTGTAAATATGTAACTGCAAATGTATTTTGTCCTTTATCTTTGCAAAAAATTTATAAATTACATTTTAATTTTTTCATTTATTATGTATTTACAGTTTCTTCAAATGTTTCAAAAGTAACCCACCCTATACTTGTTGAAAAGGTTTTTATTGGCAATGTCTATCCATTTTATAAAACATTTCTTCAACAATATGAAAATGAATATTAATAACATAAATATAAATTCTCAAAATAAGGCAAAAATAGTCAAGTTTCTATCCAGCTGTTTTTATACATAATTCCAAAATGTGCATAAAAACATCTGGCCGAATCAGACCTCTATCCGTCTTTCTGACCCTCACTCTTGGCATAATCTGTTGGTATAATATAACATAAACATGTTTCAATACATGCTGCAACACAGAGAAAGTCACCACATTAGCAGCTGGACAAAAGAAACACTTGTGGTCACTGTAGCGGGATGAAAGTAACACTTTCGGCTAAAGTAACAAGTGTTACTTTCATCCTGACAGGAACTCTTGACATATCAACACGATTTATTCCTACACTGAAAAACTCTGGCAAACTTCAGGGTGTGTTAAAGCACTAAATAATCTGTAGATTAATCATTACTGTGACACATGAAACGAGAGACACAACTTCTAAATCGAAAAAGATTACCGAAATTTACTTGACGTGCTCGAAAGCAGTTTTCCGAAGACAAAATGCGATATTTGGCAGCTCCATCAAGGGTTGCGTGCTGAAGGTGCTGTCACAGCTTGGACTGCAAATGCAGTCAGGGCTCTGAGAAAATCGCCTTGTTACTTTCGCCCCGGTTTACCCCTACTCATGTGTCTTCACATTTAGATTCATATGGGACCTAATGGCTCCAATTGTGATAATAAAAAGAACAGCGTTTGTATTGCAATGTTTGTGGGTGGAAAAAGTCTTTCTGTACCAGAGTAGAATATATGGGTCCCAGTGTGTCAACTGTGATACAAACTGTACAAGCTGTGATGGTGGGGAGTTGGTGCTTGCTGTGTCACCAGCTTAGGCAGCACTTAAAAACTGGAAATTGCTGATTCCTGATAAATTGTTTCAGGATCTGGCCCTTTGTACCTCAGCATACACGCTCTGTGGCAGAGTCCTGCCTCTCTCAGTGGTTCCCTCGGGTCCAGTGTGAGGCCCTACCAAGCTGTAGGTGGAGGTTGGAGAAAGACCGGAAGAATCATCTGTTGGCCTCTGATTCAGACCTCGGGTTGCATCTTCGACCTGGAAAATTAATTGTACATTTTGAGCCAGGTTGTGCATTATTTATATTTTACACTTTATTTCTAATAGTACTATTATACAGTATTAACATGTGAAGTAGTCTCACTACAATTAACAGCAGGTCATATATGTCCTGCAAGAACTACAAACTTCTGTATCAATGACTGCAACTTAAACACAGGGGCTTGAGCACCTGCCCTTTTTCTTGCTCTATCTATCTATCTAGTTTTTTTTGTTTTTAAGCAGTATACACACAGCCTCCCTAACAAACAAATATCAGGTCTGGAGATGAGACTTTGGTCGAATTGCCCTCCTTCCCCCTCCTATATCAGCATATCACCACAGAACGTCCCCGGTTTGAATATGTAGTGTAATATGTTGTTTGGTTAATTTAGAAAAAAATCTACAGATGCAAACAGACTAGTAGGCTTAAAACTTAAATGTGAAACGTTTCTTGCCATTACAGTAAAAGACGACATGGAAGCAAAATAGACCTTACTGTGTCCTGCCTTACACAGTAAGTTGTGGCAGGCTCCTCATTTAATGACTGGCCATTCTATTAGTTTGTTGTACGCTGATAGATCTTTACATGATGTGTGCATGTGACAGGTAGGAGCAAGCAGCTGGAACAGCAAATTGATTTAGAATTTGGTGTAGCGAAGAGTCACAGGTCATGTACAGTAAATAGACTACCTTATCAGGAAAATGTGTAGTGATGGGTGCAAAGGGACAGCCAATAGAAGTGAGGTTGGCTCATTTCTTTATTTTCCTCAAATCTGATGACAATTTTTAAATTGCTCAAAATCTGAAATTCCTTGGTTTGTCTGGCAAATTTGGGAATGTAAAAGAAAACCTTGACACTTACCTGAGGAGTTGCATAGACTGTATTTTCTCTGCTCTCTCTTTCATCTGCAGGTCAGTAATAAAAAATTAGTGTTTGCTTTAATTTACATTTCATTTTGAGAGCTTTACCTTTTCTATTTCTTAACTGCATTTCATTTACATCTCTAGAGCTAAACCTACTGGACATTAAGTCCAAATTTTGTTTGTGTTTAAATTACTTCTTCACACACTTAAAGCCTCTATGAAAAGGATCTACTATTTTGTAATGTTGAAAACACCTAGAAAAAAACTTGCATGCAGTTACCCCTTTTTCTTCCCACTGGTATATCTGGCTTTGGAATGCTACATTCTACAATGAAAAATCTATCCTAATTTGACAGATGCAATAATGACATGTAAACTAATCTACATATGGAGATTTAAAGAGATCATACCATGCTCATTTTCAGATTCTTGTACCAGAACAGGTTTACATGGTTTCAATTTCAAAAACCACCATATATTTATCATTCTGCACATTGCTGCAACATCTCTTTTCATCCTGTGTGTTAAACGCTCTGTGAGTGAAGCATCTCACTAGTAGTAATACCTAGTTAAAAATGTAATCTGGTACAATTACTAATTACATGTTAAAAAATAGTAATCAGTAACATAATCCAAGTATCACAAAATAAAATAAATGTAACCTGATTACTTTTAGTTACGTTTTGCAATGCCAAATAGGCAAATGAAGTATCAATGATGCGTTGTCTGCTCAGTGTGTTTTTAGAGAAATATACAAAATCTTCCATTCCCTGAAATCAAAATCTATGTTTAAAGTATCTGGCCCATCAGTGACAAAAAATGTGTTTTGGAGGTATTCTTGATTATATTGACGACTTATTCTGCACTTAATGAAAAGATTTCTCAATATAATGCTGCTGAAGAGTAGTGTTTCTGGGACACTGATTACTGCACAAAAACGTGAAACTGGATCATATTTAATGGCAAAATATTCCTGATGGACAGATAGCTTTACTTGTTGCTGAAGTTAGTTAACAACTGCCTAGCTTATTAGCTCAGTTAGCTGAGCAATCACTGGTCAGATTAGCTCTGCGTGTACTGGAGAGGTTTGACACAAAATTGGCCACAGTAATGCACAGTTGTTGGTAAACAAATAGAATTTTGCAGATTTTATTTTACTATTAAAATGCACACTTGAACTTACATTTTCGTCTCTTTCGACGACAGTACACTACAGCAAGAACTACAGTAAGCATTGTTATGAAAAAAACTGTGATGACAACAATGAGCACTGGGACAGTAATGCGTTGTTCATATGGATCTGTAAAGAAAAACAAAAGCCAGATTAGAAAATGACACCTGGTTTAAGTCATGCAACATAATTGAGATAGTGCTACTATAGCATCAAGTCTTGCCAACCTGTGCTTTTATGAGTGCAGTTTTAATTATGCAAATGTCTTGGTTATAGACCTGATTTGTATTAAGAAATTTAACTCGTAACTGTTTTTAATTGGTTCAAATCTTATTTTTCTTTCCTATCTGCTGTAAGCATGGATGGGTTCATCTAAAGGCTATGAATTGATGTGCTCATCAAAGTTGATTTTTAGGTCTCCTGCTCTTTTTAACCTTTACATGCTGTCACTTGGAAACTTCCGGAGGCATGGCATAAATTTATTTCGTGCCTTAAACTTGCATTATTTCTAATGACCAGCAGGGAGTAACTCCACTGGTTGCAGAAAGAAGTACGATTGTACAGAAGTCGACATGAAAATATTTATTACCTAATTAAAAACTTTTCTAATGTCAGCAGCAGGTAGACATGTAGAGAAGCACCAGAGGTTGTGACCTCTGATCGCTCTCCTCCCTCCTGACTGCAGGTTTGGGTGTCACATGTGAAAGTGCTGCTGATGTGAGAGTCCTGTGTTCTGCAGGTCACAGTGAGGTTACAGGAGTCTGAGCTGCTGGACACACTGGAGTCCACTGACAGTTCAACTGGAGACACTGGACATGAGGAGGGAATGTTTGGGTGAAATGTTTTAGAAACATGGCAGCAGATTCTCTCTGTCAGTGTCTGAAATATTAACAAACCTACCTTGAACTGTGACGTTGTATTCAGCTACTATTCGTTCTTCTTCACCTGTCACTCGTGCAGAATAATCTCCACTGTCTGCCTCTTGGAGATTCTTCACTTTCACAGAGTATTTTTTCACATCAGTCTCAATCCTTCCAGTGTAGACTGGAAAGACTGTTGGTTCTTTATCAGGTGAATTTGTTACTAAAACCTTTGTATTGAATGTCCATGAAAGAATAACAAAGTTCTGAGGAACATCAGCTGTCATGACGTTCAGAAGAACATCCTTTCCTTTCTGCACAAACACAGGAGTCACAGCACTGGAGCCTGTAAAAACACATAGGCCTAATACAATAAAATCACTCACAATAAATGTTTTTAGCCAATACTGAATGTTACTCCACACTCACTGGATCATCAGTTCAAAATTATGAAATACTTTCCACATATTGTGGTGTATCAAGGATGGCGGGGGACAAGACGGCAGCCTCTGGATTAAGCTCTGCAGTGCTTTTTGTGTTTTTGTTTATTAACTCTGTTTTCTGCTATCCCTCTTAGGAGCTCTTAAACATCGGACTTTCAACTGCTAACACTATTACACTGCTCTTGATCGAACCTGGAACTTTCCTGGAGTTATTAGTTGGAGGAGCGGCAGCTCTGTTTGGGATCCTTCGGAAACACCGAAGGGGAAGGCGTGCAGGCACGCTGGTAAAACTGAGACAGCTGGGTTTTCGCCCTGTGCTCCCTGGCCAACAAAATACAGATCTGCCGCCCTCTGTTTTACGGCACATCCCGGACAGCGCACTTTTCCTGCCGGGATTTTACCAGGGACACTAATGTTGCGAGCCACATGAGACTGAGGGGGCGCAACAGAATAGTGGCTATAGGATTGTTTTTACTCAAACAAAACAGGTTCTCACAAATGGTAATCCGTCCAGACAAATTAAATATAAAGATTTTATTTAGAAAAAGGATTACAACGTAGACAACTTAAGACAATACAACATGATGAAAATATAAAGGAATTATTGCTAAAATATCATAAATACAAAATGTTCATATATAGGCTATATGAAAATACAAACAATTTTAACAACATGCGGTAATAAAAACCTAAATAATTATAAAATAAATTGGTTGACTACATCCAAATCTAGATCTTCATATAAGCTGCTACTTGATGCAGGAAGAGCATCAGATGGGTCTCTCGGTTGGCGCCAGACTCTCGGGTAAATGGGATCCATAACTGTTGAATATGTAAGAATATGAATATAAGTAAACATTATAATTTCACTATGTTGACTGTTTTCCCATAAGGCATGACTACTATCATCAAATGATTTTAAATGAAAACATACAGTATATTTCTAATTATCATTCTAATGAAGGCTTCCTATCAGAAAGGTAGGAAGGTACTTCACTGTACAACTGCAGTACTTAAATCTGAGCAATTTCCTTGACATTTTTGTGTTATTTTACTTTTAATAGACGCATGTAACAGGTTTTATACTTCCTGTGAGTATAATCCAATTAATCTTATTTTCATATTATCCATATATCCATTGTGTAATTTGATAAATTATGTTGTGCTCACATCGCATAGTATTGAGACTTCATTGCCCTCTTCAGATAAGACTCTCAGACTGCAATATGTGTCTTTGTAATGTGTAGCAGACCTAAAATTTTGTTATGCAATTTAATAAATTTATGAGAATTGATACCCAATTATGAATTTTTAAGATTCATAAAATCAAACAATGTTCCTCGTTAAGGGCACCACCGGAGTTGTTATAATCCTAGAGTCTCCAGACCTCTAGGTAGTTTTAATAATTATACAATTATTACTAGTGATCAGTTAGTTAATAATCGCTCAATTATCTTAAATCAGTCAGTCAGTCTCGTATCTAAAAGGTCAATTCTCGTGGCAGGGACGTAGAAATAGGCAACACACACAGTTCTTGATTATATTACAGTGAATTTATTCTATAACTAATGTGATAAAAAGATGGTTGGATACAGGGAACATAAACAATTGCTGAACAATGAGCCTGGAGGTTCGATTGTGGGAAGCATTTGACTCATACGGCATAGAAGAACTAATGAAAGTAAACTAATGCTATGATTTCAGGAGCTAAAAAAGGGAAATATCTGATCACAGATGATGTGTTAGGTCTTACTGCTTGCCGGCGGCCTGCTTGGCCTGTTGCTGGTCCCACTAGCTGCCCGATCCTGGCTTTTTGCTAGGGATTCTCCGGGGTTCTCCGTGTCTGAAGAAGAAAACGTTGTCCTCCGTCTGGCAATTCGGCTGTTTTCAGGTTTCCTTCGTTGTAGCTGGCGAGACCACGTGGTTTGGTCTGACCTCAGTGAAGTAGGCTCGACGAAAAAGGCTTAAAATGGAACTTGGTCGTTCCTGAATTAGTCCGGTGTAACTTAACGGACTTTAAGAAACAAAAGAAATCAAGAAAATAAAACAAACTGAAGGCAGATCGATGTCGCGGCACTTCAGGTGTGTAGCTTCAGGCGAACAAAAGGCCTGTCTCGCTGGCCGAGTCTGAGGGCGATGCCTGGCGAGGCGTCGCGTGTCGCTCTTTTGTTGCCTGGGGCGTGGTTCCCCAGGGGGCGTCTCAGGTTTCCAAAGGGGCTTCCTCTCTAAACTTAATGTCTAAAAAGAAATCTATTTACGCGTATTATAATCAAATATTTTCCACAATCGAACCTCAGCGGTCAAACGGTTGTACTGTTCTAGGCATTTGGTAACAGGAAACAATTGTCACATTATTGGTCAGGATATTTATACATTTAACAGCATTTCCAACGAGGGCATGTAATACTTATTTCGTCCACTTGGGGGAGCTCAGATTACATGAGGAAAGCTTGGATTAATCAAAGATCACCTCCTTAGGAACGGGGGAATTATTTTTGATTCATCCTTAAATTCAAGCTGGCAGTTAAGAGTATAGTAAAACATTCCTTTGTCATCATTTCTAAAGGAATTTTGTTGGAAAGTATTATGAACAAGCATTGATCACATTAGATGAAGGAGTGTCTTGCTGAATAACAAGTAACTTTCTTTTCAGCACTAATATCAACAACATGTTAACATAACTACTCAAATAGAGACAAACGTAATCAGGTAAGTAAAGATTTAATTAACTTAATTAAATGCTTTGAGTCTTTGGAGACTGCAGTCTTTTTACATACAAAGTTCGGCTGTCCTAGATTATGTCACACTTAGGTAAGACAAGGAGTATCCCTTTGATGGGATAATAAACATAGAGCCAAGTCAGTTGCCACGGAAACATGTTGGGGGGGGGGGGCAGTTTTGATAGGCTGTTTAGGGAAATGCCAATGGCTGGTTCGTGTCCCTTTGTCAGTTTAACAGTCAGGCCCCGCGTTATCAGCTTCGGAATCAAAAGGAGGGGAGGAGAGAGAAATTTGGAGTAGCTCCAAATTTATTCAATATAAAATGCACAAATCCACACCGTTGTTCACTACAAAAGAGAGAAACAGACAGAAAAAAGTCTCTAACTCTGCCTGTCAGCCCGCTCTGCTCCGTTAAAACTGAATTTACAATACAGAATTGAATACGAGTGCACTCCAGATTTAGCTGCAGGTAGCTGACCGTGTACTTCTCCCTATACCGCAGTTTGGTGTCCATGCATGCAGCAAACTGTCTGTCAGAGCGTTCACATGAAAAAGAAGGAAGACATGGCTGGTAGAATTGTCTTCAAATACAGTTTCTAAACACCTCAGCGCACTGAAGGAAGCCATCTGACTGTGTGAGGAGCAAGCTTGTTGATATGTGCAGGCAGAGTAGGCCTAGAGCTCTCCTGTCTGACTGGTCCAACAATACAGGAAAAGTTCACACCTTGAGACACAACACCTCCTCATCGCATAATGAGGCAGAAATGCACAGAGAAATGTAAAAAGGACAGGTAGAAATAAATACCATTGGGGAAATAAATAGGGTAGAAAATGCAATAGAAGAATAAAACAGACAAAAATATTAAAACACACACATAAATAAATACAAAAAAGAAGTAATTAATAAATAAAGTTGAAGATTATAACGGACAATATATAAATAAGGTAATTATTACAAAGGTGAATAAATAAAGAAGCTAATTAAAATAGATATATACATTTATGTCTCCTTGTATGATTTAATTACTGCTTATATTTATTTATTTACTTTATTTTTTGTGCATTTAATCAGATGCTTATTTATTTATTGAGCATTTATTTATTTCTGAATTTGTCAGAATCAGTCCTCCATAGTATTGAACGTTACAGCGAAAATAAAGATAATTTAAATGTTTCAAACATTTACTTGCATTTGATGAAATGATATCACGCACCTCAACAGCTGCATGGGTGAAAACTACATGTAACCTATTTGGTCTGAAACAGGACTACAGCCAAGCCGTTGATATTAGAGCACTGATTGCCTCTATTTCGCAGGGTGGGCTAAAAGCAGACTACAAGTAGCCTGTCAACATGACACTTAATATCTTGTAGATATTATGGACATTGCAAAAATATCAACCATCTCACGTGCTGCTAGAGCAAAAACCCACTTTTAATCATTTTTGACTTTTTTGACTAAAAGTGGGCCAGAAATAGCCGGTCTGTCTACGAGCTAAATCGTGTCTACGCACAGGCTGTAAACCATGTCCGTGACTGTCGGATGTGGGGAGACGAGGGAGGAGGCGGGAAAAAAGCGTTGGAGCGTTGGAGTCCTGCAGAAGTTCGACTGGGATGTTAATGTTTTGTTCGAACGAGTTCTACAAGCGGGCTGCAGCCGGGCGGAGCCGTGTGAGTTCCTGCGGACTGTCGAGCCGCGATGATCGGCCGACGACATGACTGTACAGCGGAGCTGTGAGGACGATATTGTCTGAAGTTCCGGGCGGCCAGCTTGGATGGTATTTTTCCTCTCCTCTCCCGCCTCGCTCCCGTGAGTATCCCCTGCCACTAGACTTAATCCACATCTATTCAGGGCTCGAGGATAAACAGTCCTAATTTGTGGAAGGGATACTGTTTACTGTTTAAAGGAGCCAAAATTCACAGACTTTTTTTATTAAGGGCATCGACCTTAATTAGGCGGAATGGATACTGTTGAATCCAACGAGGGTTAAAATGAAGGGCAACTGGACTTGGTTGAAGCTACTGGAAGACGTTTCGTCCCTTATCCAAAGGACTTCTTCAGTTCTGACTGACTGGCAGGGAAACTCAGCTATTTAACCTCAGTGGGGTCGTTATCCCGGGTCATCGATACCGCTGGTTCGTTAGTGTTCCTTGTTGCTGTGACGACAGTCGTTACAGTCGTTGAGACTACCTGTGGCCAAGACTGAACGACCATCGTTGGTATCTTCACCTGAGGCCAATAGGTTACGTTTGTTGAGTTTCCTGGGAAGTGATGAAAGGACAGCATTGTAAGTGGGGGATAAGTGGTGGCGTAGACCCCCTCCCTTGTTCAATGACGGCTTCTCAACCCTGGTGTAGATGGCTTCCTTGACACCTCTTTCAAACCATCCATCTTCTCTGTCTAAAATGTGCACCTGGTGGTCCTCAAATGAGTGTCCTCTGTCCTTCAGATGTAAGTAGACTGCAGAGTCTTGACCTGAGGAGTTGGCCCTTCTGTGTTGAGCCATGCGTTTGTGTAGTGGTTGTTTAGTCTCCCCAATATACTGTTGAATGTTAAAGAGCCAAAATTAACAGACTCTTATTAAGGGCATCCACCTTAGTTAGGTGGAAAGGACACTGTTTATTGTTGGGCTGAAAATCCTCACTGATTTTGATTGTGAAGCACTGTCTTGTTTATTGCTGTGAAAAAAGGTTAAAGTAATTGTTTATTCAACTGAGGTTATATATGTTTCCATCTTTTGGGTAAAATCAGGGGTGTAATGCTACCTCCACCCTTTGTTCATTAACCCAGGAAAGTAAAAAGATTTAAAAAGGTTATTTATTTATTTTTATTTCATTTTATTAATGTTATGGACAGCTGCTGGTCATATAATTAGAATGTCATCAAAAAGTGGATTTATTTCAGTAATTCCATTAAAAAAGTGAAACTTGTATAATGTATACATTCATTGCACACAGACTGATATATTTCAAGTGTTCATTCCTTTTAATTTTGATGATTATAACTGACAACTAATGAAAACCCCAAAATCAGTATCTCAGAAAATATTGTGAGGTCTAGTTCTGTAGGCAACACAATCATGGGGAAGACTACTGACTTGACAGCTGTCCAAAAGACGACCAGTGACACCTTGCACAAGGAGGGCAAGACACAAAAGGTCATTGCTAAAGAGGCTGGCTG